GAGGAGGAAAAACCAATCGAACAAACTACTCAAGACAAAGCTCAGCTGACAGGCTGATTTTTCATCGGTTTATCGCCATTAAGTACGCAGGCCATAGTAATCGGCAGCTTCTGGCTGACTGGACGATTCTGAACTATTTAACACTATCAATGTGATGTTTCAAGTTTCTCAAAGGATAAAGTTTCAACTCTTCTGGTTCATTGTGAGCATACCCGTTCACTAACGGTTTTGGAATAATGGACTCAGACCGCAGTGCCAGGTGATCGTCCAAGCGGATTCATAAATACCCCTCCTCCTGGCTAAACCCAGGAAACATTGAGCCACTCAACAGTGTATTGGTGTTATACCTATCAGAAGAAATGACACTTTATAGGTGAACGAATCATTCTGCTCCCACGGAGTGAGTTTGCAGTTTGCAGTCAAGGCAGATTAAGCTATTGTGTCATCCACAAACGAAGAACCAAGAATTCGCCCTAACGACATCTTTATTTGAGCTAAAATGAGACCATATATATCCCACCTCCAAAGTAATCAGATGAGTAAGCAAACAACTACGTTAAATTGAGTCAAGTCAGAAAGATAAAATTAGGCTCCAGTACCGTGTTATCTAAATTCCTCTTCCGTCAAATTAATTTTCCTTGGGATAATCGATAAGTATTGTAAAATACTGAGATGAATACGAATCACTGACAAACATTTTGATCACAGCTTTGCTTTTCAATTCAAAAACGTTCCGTATGACTTAAAAAATGAAACAAATGAAAGTATTTGCATGTAAGTAATATAACTGTTCTTTTCCACCAGCAGGAATCTTTTAAAAACTATTTAAGACATTTTCTTTTGAAAGAATAACCCAAAGAATCTTCGGCTAACCAAAGATAAATGACGATGGAATGCCTCTCCACCCGATCCTAGACGTGGAAAACTCTCTTTACCATACCATGCCTATGTGGCCGGTAGCGATCCTAAAACCCGTGAGATCACAGCTCACCAATCACACATTGAAGAATTCCTAGGACTTGGTGCCTGGAACTAAAGACTCAAAGTAAACGGATCACGCATGACATCACTCGGCGTCAGATCCCTATTGACAAACGTTACCCATGGTGAAGTTATTGAGTACATATATGACCGTATACAAGGCAATAATAGTTAAATCGGAATACCAGCTGGCGGTCACGAACAATTGCTGTACTTTACCACACAAAATACAATTACAGTGACGAAATTTCTCTCCAATTGCATGGGGTTGCAATGGGATTTACCTTGATTTCACTTTACGCCGATGTCTCCATAGCACGGTTGCAGGAAAAACGTCATCGAAGGAGGAATCGATGGTTTTGCATTAAAGAAGCGATACGTGGATGATATTTCGTTCATTGTCGATGAGATTCAAAAATATTTGACTCAGTACATCCAGGCAGAAATTTTACTCAAGAGAACGAGGAGCAGATTGTATTTCTGGATATCCTAAAAAGTTTTCGATCAAACGGAACTACCCAGCGCACTAGCTACAGGAAGCCATCATGGGATAATCAGTGTATCCATTTCCAAAGCTGTGTGACATTGAAAGGGGAAAAAAGATGATTCAGCGTCTAGCTACTAGAGAGCGGAGAGTGTATACTGATGATACCATTGAGAGTGGACGCAGGATTATTTAAGAGGTTTTCTCTTATCACAGATGCCCAGAACGAATTGTGGACAAAAGTTTGAGGCGTCACCAGTTGCCAAAAAGATCACTATTGTGGAGAAGAAACCTTCCAAGAGTGAAGAAAAATTCCGAGATGGTGTCACGTAAATTGAGCACACCTGTGAAAGTGTATTCTTTGAAGCAAAACTTCGCATAGTATATATACATCTATGGGCTACTTTTGCACTTTTAACTCAAAGAAAAATGGTCTGTTTTTGTGTTCTTTTTCTGTGCGTAATTATTTACCTGATCCTGAGATAAGGTAGCTGGGCCTCACGAGCAGACATTTATACGAAAGCGGACGCCAACATCACCACAGCATCACCCACCCCGGGATGAATAGTTGGATGTATTGGACTATCGAATTTTGATCATTTCACACCTATTGGAGTCAAACCACGCGGTTCATTTGGTCGGGGTGTATCGACCCCTCCATTTAGTTCACAGTCATCAATTTAAGGGACTTAATAGTCTCGTTCTGGCCACAGCGAAAGTGATCGGAAGCCGCCTACATAACGCTCCTGATGCTCCAAAAGCAATGCTTATTTGCGATAACAAAAATGTGAGCATTAACCTGTAAATGAATCACCGGAAACGCGCTTGTTCGTCACTGATTTTTCCTTATAATTTTTATTGTCTATATACTCGGACAAACACTACTCTAATAAATGGGGGACGAATAGTATCAAATTGAAATTCATATAAGTATCAAAAATTCCTGACGTTTTGGGTGTTGTCCAGGCTTATGGAATTGATACCGCTTTCATTGCAGTATAAGTGCTTGGTCAAAACATTTCAAAGCCAAACAATGTATTCTGCCAAGCTGCCTCCATCTGGAGGACACCAAAATTTTCTGCTTAAGTTTTTATCAGTCGGCGAATTTTCTCATGCACAGAGCAAATGAAGTGTGAGCTGAAAAGTTAAGAAGCACTGGAGAGCAAAATGAAAACCTGTCAGATCAGCTGTCCGGTTGTTTGAGTAGGCCGTATGTTGATTGCATTTCACCTGTAAGATCTCGGGTTCGATTCTTAATTGGGTCGATGGGTTCGCACCGTTGATGAAACCCAAAATAACTGCTTTGTTCATTCCAGATTTTAAGCTAACGCATCATTCGCTCTGTGCATGACAAACTGTGTCCTATAATAGAGGACTACTTCATTTCGAACTCAAATCTCCGGCTCACCTGGCTTTTGTTCAATCTTCAGTTATCAAACTACAACTGTTCTTTGAAATTATGTTATCCGTTATGAGATAAATAGCTTTGCATCTTAATATAAATCGCATCGTTAGCTAATCCAAGCATGTATGTTCTGTGCTCCCTTGAGGTACAGTCAGTAGACATGGAACTTCCAATTGACCCGAGGGTTATTTGGAGTGCTCTACTTACTAGCCAAATGTAAGACTTTTACGGCTTGAAAGTCATATATAAGCGTTTTCTATTCTTCTAATATTCGTCAGCACATTGTATTTGCCAAGTTTATGATGGTCTGTAAGCCTCTTTCTCGTTTATAGGAACATCCGGCTCAAGAAGCTCAGATTCGCGTTTGAGCCAAACAACTGAACAGAAATTTTAATAATGGGCCTTCTAAAACCTCGTTTAGTGTCTCATTTCAAAAGCGGCTTGTAAAAAGTGTCTCATATAAACCATCCGGAAGGTGCGCGTGGGTGTGGATAACTAGTCTTGTTGTTCTACGGATGTCTGTTTGTGTCCTGCTTCCTCGATCTATTTTCTAAGAGTGAAACCATCCCCGTGGAAAAAAAAACAATTTTGATCAATCTGGGCTCTAGCTGATGGAAGGCACCGTGTATAGAGTTACGTCACAAAGGGCAAAAGCTAGCCAAGTTACCAATGAACATATTTATTTGCCAAGTTTCCGTAAATTTCACGATCAAATTATCAGAGGCTTTGCTAGAAAAAAATAAGTGGTCGCAAGAAATGCCTTGTGCACACAACAAACAATATGCCGTCCACGGAGTTCAAGATTTCATTTTCCGATGGCATATTGAGTCTTTCATCCAGTGCGAACGGAAGTTGGGATCCGAAAGGTTAGATGAACATGTGCAACTGGAGTTATTGTGGAGATATCATGAGATTCGTGCACTGAAAGTGACGTCTGAGCATGTTTCACAGAATGCCCTAAAGTACAAAACAATGAATCCAAAATAATAGTAGATATGTGAATAGCGAGTACCGTAAGCTATTTTGAAACTTGTACTTTTGTTTATCGAGCATACAGGAACCATTTACTAAACTGCACACACGATAGACGACAGTGCTATTTCCCTATTACTAATTGGTCCGAACATAATAAAAACAGCTTAGTTCCTCTTTCATTTAGACGTTAAATTTATATTGTTAAAATCTAGTCCTCTCTTTAAACTAAGGGACCAAAGATAACTCTTTTATTGTTAAAAGACACATTTGGGATTATGATTGGTTAGAGCCTCGGTAACTTCCAGTAACTTTGTGTTGTTTGTTTTGTAAACGGCCTGAATTTCGCGGGCCGGAGTAAGACAATGGTTTTGTTCAAAGATGTGTTACGTATTCGAAGATCTGAGTTATTTTTTTCTGCCCAGTCAATGACTTAATGACGTCAAAATTGTAGTCGATCCCTCGGCCGAACACAACCCGCTGTGGCTTCGAAAGGTACGGATACCACGTTTGAACGTGTTACGCCATCAACTGGGCAGGAAGACTCTGATCTTTGATTAGGCAACATCTATCAGAACAAACGATGTTGTCACTTTTCTATAAAACTGCGGTTGTTTCAAGTATTTCTTAATATTTCTAGCCAGAAATTTCACGATAATGTAAACTCTAAGAAAAAACAGATCTGATGAAATCTGTTAAAATTGTAATCCTCTTTAAAGTTTGTACGTCTTTTTTTCTTTTTCTTAGTTTTTTCTTAGTTTTTACTTTATTGAATGTACAAATGTACAGTCAACTTTCAGGAAGGGGGCCGCGGCCATACATAGGCTGCCTGGGGAAATTCAGAAATGGTGAAGACGGGCGGCGGTCGAGTGGTTTGAACCCGTTACCCCATAATTTAGTGACCTAACCAGTTGGCCACCCGCGCCCATCCCGTTCTGTGACCAGAATATTTGTGTAATGTAATGATTTTGCGTAAGAACCAAATGAATTGAAAAAATGTACAGCCTCATTTAACTTCTGGAGTGGTTTCAAACTTTATTTCTTTTGATTTGTTTTTTAATCATTCCAAAGATACATGCAGTGATTGTTACTCGCGTTCCCACTAGGCAAGTCAAGGATGAGCAAGGAGGGAATCGATCAATCGTGCTCGGAACTCACCGCCGAAGTAACAACCGTCCGATAACCGGGTTGCAATTACTCCCGATTTGGTGATAATATTGACCACACCTTCTTGAATGAAGTACATCTTGTTCCCAACCGTACCCTCTTTGATAATCAGGTCACCTGGTTGAAAGACTTCTTGTTTGAGCCGTACAACGACCTCGGAAACAAAGTTTTGGTCAGCATTGGCGAAAATGGGCACGGCGGCGACTAGGGCACGACAGTTGTAGTTAATAATTTGCTGTTTTCAACAGAACGGAGATAGCGGGGTGCAACAGATGATGAATGAGATGGCGTTTCAGTCGGTCACAACCACACACATACACAAGCCAATAAGGAAGAATTCACAGGCATACGTGTGCATACTGACATTCTCTCCGTTTCACCTTTAGGCTTACGTACGCATACACGCGAGCTACGTCAGTAATCAAGGAGTTCGTGTAAAAAATGGAACATATTTTTGTTCCTTTCGGAAGTACTGTTAAAAATATGCTAACCGCATTTCTAACTGTCACCGATTGTGTGAACAAAACGTATGAATAATGTTCCGATCGTACAGCACTCAGATCGATAGTAAACCGAGCCAGAACTGTGCCTTGTTGAGGCAAACAGGGGTTAAGGTACCGCTTTCACACGTTTTTTGATGTAAATATCAGTATGATATAACAACTAGGTTATTCGAAATCAGTTATTGTAGCAACCATATATTGAAATTGAGAGACACTGAAAACCAACACGGTTGACATGTGATATCAAATAGATTTGTGATCGAATTGCAATATTGATCGATATCGATGAGGTTTTAAACGTACCTCAGAATGTTTACTTTGTTTTATTTTTCAGTGATAAACGTTATGGTCATGAGGATCGAATTTTCTCACGGTCACTTGAAATATCTTCGGTGTAGTGTTTTGAATTAACCAACAGTTCCGATGTAACTATAGTCATCCCTTCCAACAGGAATGGATTCGGCCATGAAATTATTTCCCAGTCGCACTGTGCTCAAGTTTGTCGGTAATTGAGGTGGTGAACACTGAATAGATTATTCGTATCCGTGATGACCTCGGTCATGCTCGGTTCAGTTTGACAGGCTTGAAACCAACCGATCTTGTCGAAACCAAAGATGGGTCACGGTGCTGTCGAGGTTAGGACCGGGATGTCCTTATTTATGCCGCTAGTCAAGTGGACAACCTAGTGAAGCGAATGAATGCACACACACACACACACACACACAATTCGGGTTGCGATTACTCAACACATGATCAACCTGAGACCGCGGGAAAACCCATCGAATACGCACGCACACACACACACACTAACAACAAGCGGAATAGCAACAGTAAATTCAATGGCCATGTTGACTGGACACCTGCTTGGTTCACACAGAGAGGGAAACAACCAGTGTTTAGTCATTGATCACCTAGCTTAGGTCAAGCCATTTAGAATTATGAAAAGATTGTGTGCATTGGCATGATTACCGTCGATCCGTGAACATACATCAAAGGAAATATGAATATTGCAAATAATTCAATGTACCCAGATTGGAACTGTTTCGGTGCATCAAAATAAGTTGGACCTGAGGAGCGCTTGGTCATGAAATTGTTTCTTCGGCTGTCACAAATGTGTCATCTAACTCAATTCAGGCAANTTCAGGCAAATGTGGGTGTGTGAAATGTAGCAAGCTTTGAGTTATTTAGTTTTTCCCATGGGTGCAGTTTGCAACCCGCCATTTCAGATGAGCTCTGGTTTAACAAATCCAAGCGCTTCTGAGAAAAACAAAGAAACAAACAACAATTTGCTTCAGTGAGTTCGAACTAAATTTCATTGGCCCCAACGAAGCAAAAGTAGCAGCTTAGAATATTGAGTCACATCGTCTCAACCGAGCGATGATTGACGATGGCGTTCAAACGAACTTGCTTAAATCCTAACAGGCATAATATCACGGGCTTCCGCACTAAGATGGTTGCTACTAGTACCACGTGGTACAACAATTACGCGGTCAAAGGTGGAGCACCGAGTCAGTAGAACATTTTTATTATGAATCTGTAATAACGAAAGGCATCTCTACCNCTACCCAGATATTATTCTTACTATAGGTCTCATTTGTCTCCCGTTTTAACTATTGTGATAAATATATTTTTCAGTCATTGTTGGCTGTTTAAACCAAATTGTATTCAGGCGTTTCCTGACGAAAGTGAGGTTACTGGTTTTATTCACAATGCGGAAACTATGACAAATTGTTTGAACAATTATCCCAGATTTTTTGATACAAATACTTGTAGTGGAAAATTTGTTTCCCACCTGAAACATCTCGTCAGTTTACGTCAGATGGTTTCTGGTTTGTTAAAAGCTGTTCTCCATTCCCTATCCTAAAGGCATGTGACCAACTGGCATGTACGATGCGCTTTGCGCTGTTTTTATCATTTTTGCAACTAATGTATAATATTTCACATAGTAGTTTATAATCGGACCCGGAGGTCACATGATCAAGTCAGCCTCCAGTTAAAACCCTTAGGAAGTGGTCTTAAATTTCGCAATTTTCGATTAGTTTGTCTATCTTTCTGGCCTTTCGTCCAAGTAAGAAGTATTATCAAACATATTTTTTGTGATTGCTGTGCCTGTTACTATTTGCTGGTACATTGGAATGGTCTTCGTGAATATCGATCTCCATATTAAAAATTCTGGATTGTTTGTCATGAAAACTCTTGTGAAAACTCAACAAAAGAACTGATTTAACTTTTCAGGTTTCGATGTTGTTTGACCGAATAAAATCGTAGTACTTTAGAATAAATAATATGTTTAGTGTACTGTCACTAATTAATGAGATGGACGACCAAAATTGATGATTGGGGTTACGTAAGCTCACTTACGGATTGTGATCATCGCAACGGGACTCTATTCAGTTCATTGGCAATTCTGATCAATACACTTCTCGCTAAATTAATTTCTCAGGCTACGCATGAACTATGGGGTCATCAAAACAGTACATACATTGACCACACGTGGGGTTCTTCTCGAAGCTTTGTCCTCTTCGGGAAAGTTCATTCACTCGTTGACCGATCAATCAAACTATGTTCATTCAATTTCTCGGTCGATAAGCTATTCGAGCGAAAAGAAAAATGGGCCATTATACTCAATCAGTTTCTGACCTTCAAAATGAAGCCAAAAGCTCAAGGCAAGAGAAACAATTTTCTTCTAGCCAGCGATGATCCTAGATTGAAGAGAACTATTTTGAAGCATCATGGAAAAGATAAAATCGGCACGTTCATCATTTCTTATCACCTATGGTGAAGGACGGCAAGCCAATTTTCGAATATCATCCCAAGTGTGGAACCAGATAGACTCGACGGATATGTTAACCTTGAACCATATTTTTTAAGGTCAACTGGGTCAGTTTCAATTGTTTTTTTTAAAGTCAAAATAAGATAAAAATGCGTAGAAAATGTAGACTGATTGCTCTGTTTGGTCACAAATGTGGAACTTTCACCCACAGGACTATTACTGCTATATAAACAACTCTAGGTTGTAGCACGATTAGGTGAAGCTTGAATCATAATCTCTGGAGGGGAGGGCTTAACATGAGAACTGTCTGATGTTTTGAGTCAACAGTTTTCATTCTCACAGGCGGGGACGGGGGTTTGGTTTGGTATCATGCTTCAGTAATATGATTACGCACCATCATTTTGAACACCCTGGAATTCCAAAAAAAGCGGTTGAATAAAAGCGGGTGAAGCATTGGTAGTCATGTTGAGCAAAACCATACAGTTTGCCTAGAAAGAATTAACACAAAATATCAACTTGCTCCAGCGTCAAGCTGTTTAAGAACCGAATCATAGTTCTAAGCGTATTTGATCGCGCCGTAACACACTGTTGTCAGACATATTTATATTCCCGTTTGTGACGAAAAACAGCATAAAAAATGCTTAATTTTCTTGATCCATATCTTCCACCTGTATTCATCAATTTTTATCTGGATCGCCGATGCACAATATACAGTATATACAGTGTAGGGGAGTTTCACAGTTTGAAGTATCTAAGGTGAATGTTTTGCCAGGATGTGTTTTATTAAGTGCTCAAGATCTGGTTAATCTCATCCGAATTTCGCCAGACAACATAACGTAATCAACCGTTTGTCAGAAGGTGAGGTCAAAGCTGAATAACCAAGTTGGGTAATCAGTTAAATCAACCGATTGCAATTTGATATTTTGTCCTGCCAACTCAGTCTTACAATGTAACTTGGTTTTTGTCCATAACAAGCAATGAAAATAACGATTGATGTCCGCTTTCC